TATTTTATTCATTTATTTTATTTATTTATTTACTTTATTTTATTTATTTATTATATATTTTTAAATTGTGACGAACATTATTAATTTAAAAATGAGCGATCAAGAACTCGCTGCTAAAAGACTCAAGATGGGTAGACAGAAACGATTCCAACATCAATGGTTTGATGATAATCCTTCCTGGAAAATCTGGGTGAAGGAAATTCCTGATGATCCTCACAAATTTTTCTGTTTAGCCTGTCAAACGACATTAGTTTGTGGTCTTTCAGAAATAAAAAAACATTCGAAGAGTACATATCATCTGGAAAATATGAAAAAATTAAATCCAAATTCTTGGACTAACTATTCGGAATTGGAAAGTTCCTCTGTCGAAGAAATTAATCCAGGACAATCAAAAACTCAACATGTTCCAAGAGAAGATTTCGATTTTAACGAACGAGTTAAAATCGCAGAAATAAGATTAGCGATCTTTTTCGTTGAAAAGAATTTGCCATTCTCAATTTCATCCGAATTACTTTTTCTCATGAAGGATATTGCGAAAGAACCTGATATTCCACAGGCAATGTCTTTGGGAAGAACAAAATTAACACACATTGTTAACGATGTTGTGTGCCGTCAAGAAACACATCAAATTAGTGAAGTATTGAGAGAAAACAAATTCTCAATTTACGAAGATGAAACATCTGTCATAACAAACGATAAATGGCTCTTATTAATGGTTCGTTATGTTGAACCAAAAACGTTACATGTCAGATGTGAATTATTACAAATGATTCATTTGAATGCGACGGATTGTTCTGCCAATAAGATCTTTCAATCGTTTGAGAACGAATTATTGAAAAAGAATATTTCTCTTCGATTGATCGTTGGTCTTAGTTGCGATAATGCCTCTGTAATGATAGGCAAAACGTCCTCTTTTAAAACAAAATTGATAGAAAAAAGTCCGAATCTTGTAACACTTCCATGTGTATGCCACTCTTCAGCATTAGCAGCAAAAGCGGCCTGCGAAATAATTCCTCAAGATTGTGAGCATTTTATTAAAGGCATTTCCACATTTATCAACAGTAGTACAGTAGTCCAAGCTATTTTCCGAGATTTTCAGATGTGCTTCGAAGATAAATCTTTGAGCATTTTGAAGTATGCAGAAACACGTTGGTTAATTGGTTAAAAGTGCATTCAGAGAATCTTGGAAATATGGGAATTTTAGGCAACTTTTTAATGGAACAGGCATCTGAGAATGTTCGTCCTGCGCATAACTTGCTGTCCATTTTTCAAAATCCTTCGACGAAAGCTTATCTCTTCTTTCTTGAATTTGCACTTGATACGTTCAACAAATACAATGCAAAGTTTCAGACAAGGAAGTCCATTATTCACGAGCTGCAGCCTTCCTCAATCAAATTGCTACTTTGGTTTCTTAGAAAATTTATGAAGCCTGCTTTATTAAAAACTGGAGTGTTTGGTCATATTGTTAGGACCGTGAACTTTTCTGATCGTGCCAATCATCTTCTTTTAGAGGAAACTGATTGTGATTTTGAATGTAAAGAATATTTACAAGAACAAATAAATCAGAAAATTTTACCTAAAATAGACGTCGATTTTATTCGAGAAAATTGTTTGCAATTTTATATAAAAGCATGTGAACAAATTCGTGATCGTCTTCCAATCGACGATAACTTTTTACATTGTGTTGCAGTTTTCGATAACAAAACTGCATTGTTTGAATGTGATCGAGAGTCAACGGTTTTTAGAGTACTGCAGGTTAATCGCAGATTAGGAAAATTAGTCGATGAAGATGAAGTGCGAAATAAATGGAAATCTTTATATGAAGTCGATCTACCTACAAAAGTCGACTGGTCTAAATTATCCTTCGACGATATGTGGAGACAAATCGGTTTGTATTTTACGGACGAAGAAAATATTCGTTTTCCAAATTTACGATCGCTTTTAAGCATTATAAGAACTCTTCCTCACTCAAACGCTGAAGCTGAACGCGTATTTTCCATTATTCCAGATGCAAAAACAAGAAAAAGAAATAATATGTCCATTGAGACATTAAATTCAATTTGAGTTATAAAGTACGCTTTAAGAGCTAATGATAAAACTGCTCGCAATATGGCAGTGACACATGAACATCTAACTCTCCACACGACAGAAAATTTATATAAAAAATCAATACCTGAGCGAAAAAGCAACTTAACATTGCATTCACACAACGATGAAGAAGAAATGCAACAATAATATTATCATATAATATTACCATATCAGTCGATGATTAATATAGAGCCTTTATCTTTATTTTTAATTTACGCTGGCTGTTAAAATGCGTTTCAACAATAGTCTTAACAAGAACCTTTTCTCGTTCTTTCAATTTGTTTTTACTGAAGAGAGTCCAGTCGAGGATCGAAACGTTTAATATTAAGAACTTTTCAAAATTTATTTATTATTTGTTATTCTAGTCTTAAGAACTTTTAAGATTTAAATACATACATGTACATACGCAATTTGCTTCTTAAGCATTTTTGTATTTATTATATTTTATATTTTATATTTTATTATTA